CCCCCCCCCCATCCCCCCCCCCCTTTCCAGTCCAGACACTCCCCCCCCTTCCAGTCCAGGCGCTTTCCCCCCCCATTCTTGCCCAGGAAAGCCAATTTCCAGCTTTCAGGGCTATCACACTTTGAATGACAATTGCGCGGTCATGCAACACTGTCAGGAATTGCCAGAGCGAGGGACCCCCTGGTGGATGCTACAGGCATGCTGGTGACACCGTGGGGTCAGTTTTTGTCTCTTGCACAGGAATAGAGGCCAGTTGGGTTCCATTCCTGCTGGTGGCTGCGGACTGGCCCTGTCCCACCCCAGAATTTTTTGTCGATACAGTGACTGGAAGGAATATGCCCCATTGTAGGTGTCATGGGGAGGAATAGTGCCCCATTGTAGGTGTCAGTGGGAGGAATAGTGCCCCATTGTAGGTGTCAGTGGGAGGAATAGTGCCCCATTGTAGGTGTCATTGGGAGGAATAGTGCCCCGTTGTAGGTGTCAGTGGGAGGAATAGTGCCCCGTTGTAGGTGTCAGTGAGGAGGAATAGTGCCCCCTTGTAGGTGTCAGTGGGGAGGAATAGTGCCCCATCGTTGGTGTCAGTGAGAGGAATAGTGCCCCCATCGTTGGTGTCAGTGAGAGGAATAGTGCCCCATCGTTTGGTGTCAGTGAGAGGAATAGTGCCCCATCTTGGTGTCCCAGTGGGAGGAATAGTGCCCCCATCATTGGTATCAGTGGGAGGAATAGTGCCCCATCATTGGTGTCAGTGGGAGGAATAGTGCTCCATCATTGGTGTCAGTGGGAGGAATAGTGCCCCGTCGTAGGTGTCAGTGGGAGGAATAGTGCCCCATCATTGGTATCAGTGGGAGGAATAGTGCCCCATCATTGGTGTCAGTGGAGGAATAGTGCCCCATCATTGGTGTCAGTTGGAGGAATAGTGCCCCATCGTAGGTGTCAGTGGGAGGAATAGTGCCCCATCATTGGTGTCAGTGGGGAATAGTGCCCCATCATTGGTGTCAGTGGGAGGAATAGTGCCCCATCATTGTGTCAGTGGAGGAATAGTGCCCCATCGTAGGTGTCAGTGGGAGGAATAGTGCCCCATCATTGGTGTCAGTGGAGGAATAGTGCCCCATCATTGGTGTCAGTGGAGGAATAGTGCCCCATCATTGGGGTCAGTGGGAGAATAGTGCCCCCCATCATTGGGGTCAGTGGGAGGAATAGTGCCCCATCATTGGTGTCAAGTGGGAGGAATAGTGCCCCATCGTAGGTGTCAGTGGGAGGAATAGTGCCCCATCATTGGTGTCAGTGGGAGGAATAGTGCCCTCATCGTAGGTGTCAGTGGGAGAATAGTGCCCCATCATTGGTGTCAGTGGGAGGAATAGTGCCCCATCATTGGTGTCAGTGAGAAGGAATAGTGCCCCATCATTGGTGTCAGTGGGAGGAATAGTGCCCCATCATTGGGGTCAGTGGGAGGAATAGTGCCCCATCATTGGTGTCAGTGGGAGGAATAGTGCCCCATCATTGGTGTCAGTGGGAGGAATAGTGCCCCATCATTGGTGTCAGTGGGGAGGAATAGTGCCCCATCATTGGTGTCAGTGGGAGGAATAGTGCCCCATCATTGGGGTCAGTGGAGGAATAGTGCCCCATCATTGGGGTCAGTGGGAGGAATAGTGCCCCATCATTGGGTCAGTGGGAGGAATAGTGCCCCATCATTGGGGTCAGTGGGAGGAATAGTGCCCCATCATTGGGGTCAGTGGGAGGAATAGTGCCCCATCATTGGGGTCAGTGGGAGGAATAGTGCCCCATCATTGGGGTCAGTGGGAGGAATAGTGCCCCATCATTGGGGTCAGTGGGAGGAATAGTGCCCCATCATTGGGGTCAGTGGGAGGAATAGTGCCCCATCATTGGGTCAGTGGGAGGAATAGTGCCCCGTCGTAGGTGTCAGTGGGAGGAATAGTGCCCCATTGTAGGTGTTAAGGGCAGGAACTATGCTCTTTTGTTGCTGACATTGGGGCAAAAAGTGGCCCAAGGCCGCAAAAGCAAGCAAAGAGCCCCCACTGTGACACACCAACACAAAGTAGCACATAATTGTGAAGTGGACCCCTGCAGGACCAGAGTCCCGGGTGCACCGGGTATTACATTTGTATCCAGACTTGATATATTCAGAAAAAAAAGTTAAAGAGATTTTTTTTTGCCCACAATTGAGTCCCCCGGCCCAACAGAGCGATCGCCCATTGTATACCTTCTGGAAGTTTTCTGTAAAAGTTTCCTCTCTGCAGATTCCCTGACATTTCCCTGACCTGATCTGTGAGGGGGAAGAGATTGCATGTGACAGGCCGGCATTCTCCGCTCTCTCTCCCTCCTGGTGGTGCAGTGGGGATGAATGCGGTCCATTACTCCGTGCTTTTATTCCTGTTCTGCCAGGCCAGCAAACACGCTCAGACAGTTTCCAGAGTAACACCGAAGTTTGTGCCGACTCTCCGGTCTGAGTCTGCTGCCCCCGGGGCCCCGTCTGCTTCTCCTGTTGTAGCAGCAGACATATGAACACCTTCATCATGGGCCCCCTGATACTCCCCGTGTTCCTGTTTGTTCATAGTAAGCAACTTGTGCGGCTTCCTCGCACCCACCGTCCCATGGGCTGTCAGGGACACCATTCACGTTCTACTCATTCTCAGATCTTGCTACTTTTTGGAAATTATACACACATAGATTTTGTTCGTTTTTTTGTACCCTAAGCCCACTCCCTTACCTATACCCTGTGATTGAAGGGGACACACCCCTTCACACAGTTACAGAGGCTGTCAATCACAGGCTGCGTGCTGGAGGTCCCTCCCCTATCATCGTACTTAGTGAAAATGTTCTTGGCCTGAAAAGAGGAAAATTAATGAACCTGAGAGCTGCGTGGAGGGGACACACCCCTTCACACAGTTACAGAGCTAAGGCTGTCAATCACAGGCTGTGTGCTGGAGCTCCATCCCCTGTCATGGTACTTAGTGAAAATGTTCTTGGCCTGAAAAGAGAAAAATTAATGAACCTGAGAGCTGCGTGGAGGGGACACACCCCTTCACACAGTTACAGAGCTAAGGCTGTCAATCACAGGCTGTGTGCTAGAGGTCCCTCCCCTGTCATCGTACTTCGGTTCATTCATTTTCCTCTTTTCAGGCCAAGAACATTTTCACTGAGAGCTGAGTGGAGAGGACACACCCCTTCACACAGTTACTGAGCTAAAGCTGTCAATCACAGGCTGCGTGCTGGAGGTCCATCTCCTATCATTGTACTTAGTGAAAATGTTCTTAGCTCTCAGGTTCATTAATTTTCCTTTTTTCAGGCCGAGTGGAGAGGACACACCCCTTCACACAGTTACTGAGCGAAGGCTGTCAATCACAGGCTGTGTGTGCTGGAGCTCCATCCCCTGTCATGGTACTTAGTGAAAATGTTCTTGGCCTGAAAAGAGAAAAATTAATGAACCTGAGAGCTGAGTGGAGAGGACACACTCCTTCACACAGTTACTGAGCTAAGGCTGTCAATCACAGGCTGTGTGCTGGAGGTCCCTCCCCTGTCATCGTACTTCGGTTCATTCATTTTCCTCTTTTCAGGCCAAGAACATTTTCACTGAGAGCTGATTGGAGGGGACACACCCCTTCACACAATTACAGAGCTAAGGCTGTCAATCACAGGCTGCGTGCTGGAGGTCCATCTCCTGTCATCGTACTTAGTGAAAATGTTCTTGGCCTGAAAAGAGAAAAATGAATGAACCTGAGAGCTGATTGGAGGGGACACGCCCCTTCACACAGTTACAGAGCTAAGGCTGTCAATCACAGGCTGCGTGCTGGAGGTCCATCTCCTGTCATGGTACTTCGGGAAAATGTTCTTGGCCTGAAAAGAGAAAAATGAATGAAGCTGAAAGCTGATTGGAGGGGACACACCCCTTCACACAGTTACAGAGCTAAGGCTGTCAATCACAGGCTGCGTGCTGGAGGTCCCTTCCGTGTCATGGTACTTAGGGAAAATGTTCTTGGCCTGAAAAGAGAAAAATTATTGAACCTGAGAGTTGAGTGGAGAGGACACACCCCTTCACACAGTTACAGAGCGAAGGCTGTCAATCACAGGCTGTGTGCTGGAGGTCCTTCTCCTGTCATCATTTTTCTCTTGGTGTCAGGAAAACATGTCAGAAGTGACTCCAGAGGAAGGAGGCAGCAGACAGAAATGACACTTGGTGCTCTGACACCCCTGCTCGATGGTGTATACTTGTTTTAAATCCAAACTGTCTGCCCTCCAGCTGTTGCCAAACTACAAGTCCCATGAGGCATTGCAAGACTGACAGTTACAAGCATGGCTCCCAAAGGCTGAGGCATGATGGGACTTGTAGTTTGGCAACAGCTGGAGGGCGGACAGTTTGACACCCCTGCTATAGAGGGATATTCCTTGTTGGTTTTTCATGTCAGAGGCTTACAACCACTTTTATAAATGGGAGAACACGGTTTTATCCCTCCAGTTCTTACCAGGGGGGAGTGGCAGGGACACGGCATTTCTGGCAGGATCAAAAATTGTTTTCCGTACTTAGTGAAAATGTTCTTGGCCTGAAAAGAGAAAAATGAACGAACCATATTTAAGGACTGGTACGCTTCAGTACATCACATGTCCATTGTCTACCTGGTTTTGGGGATTTTTTTCCCCTTCTTTTGGGTCTTTTAAAGGGAAACTCCAGCCAAAACGTTTTTTCCGGTTGGTGTGGGGAAGGTTTACCAGCTGTGGTTTTAATATCTGGGCCTCCACTGGATATTTTTTCTGATTTTACAATAATGGTGACCATAAGTGTTTTAAAAAAAAAAAAAAAAATTCTAAATGAATGCTGATTTTCCATCATTTCCTGTCCCTGTTCGGCTGGACGGGAAGTGAGGAGGAAATTTCTAACACAAAAAAAATGGGTCTAACCCTGCCCACTCTATCCAAAAACTAAAACACGTTTGTTTTTTTGTAGCAGTTACTTTCAGTCCTAAACTTTTGCTTTTGTTATTTAGGAAAAGCAGCCGTGGCCGAGCCAGTGGAAGCAAAAGCAGGAAGTGACATCACTGCTCCACCCAACAAGGAACTTCCTGCCAGTCCAGAGAAGAAAGTTAAGGTGAGACATACATGACACATACATACATACAATGGAAATTTCCTGCATGTGTGCTGAAGGGCTCTGTCGGGATTCTATGGCCGGGAAGACCCCATTAGCACATTTGCACAGGTTGGAGGGGGCGTCCCACGGAGCAAACGGAGGACTGAAGTTCCTCTATAGTCAGTGGCGGGAGCTACAGGCTAAGTGACGTACCGGTAAGTCCCTTGGGGGAGGGTGGGGGGGCGTCCCGTCCCGTCCCACGGAGCAAACGGAGGACTGAAGTTCCTTTTATAATCCGTGGCGGGAGCTACGGGCTAAGTGACGTACCGGTAAGTCCCTTGGGGGGGGGTGGGGGGCGTCCCACAGAGCAAACTGAGGACTGAAGTTCCTCTATAGTCAGTGGCGGGAGCTACAGGCTAAGTGACGTACCGGTACGTCCCTTAGTGGAGGGGGGCGTCCCACAGAGCAAATGGGAGGACTGGAGTTCCTCTGTAATCAGTGGCGGGAGCTACGGGGTAAGTGACGTACCGGTAAGTCCCTTGGGGGGGGGGGGGGCGTCCCGTCCCGTCCCGTCCCGTCCCACCCCACCCCACAGAGCAAACGGAGGACTGACGTTCCTCTATAGTCAGTGGCGTGAGCTATGGCGTGCCGCACATGCATGCTGTGACCGCTGTGTCCACAGGAAACGGCGGATTGCGGTTGCTGGTTGGGGGAGTAATGAAAGCGAAGCGATCACAATATCAACAAAGCTGGTAGAATGAATTCCATTCATAACAGCTGTGTTTCCTACAGTGATTGTCCCACAGCTATCACATGATACATGGGCCAATCCTAGCACCCTGTACCCTGTGAATGCTGTGGGCCGATCACAGATCACAATAGTAAAATCACAGCTGTTATTAATGTAACCTGTTCATGGCAGTTCAAAATATTGCTTTTACAGCCAACTTCAGTATATCAGTAATTAAAATGTAAACAAAAAAACCTAATCAACCCCCCCACCACCACCACCCCACAGAGTAGTACAGTGTTACTGTGGTGACACTCAATTACTCTGATTAAAATATAGTTAAAAAAAAAAAGTTCAATTTTAAAAAAAAAATTGATTTGAAATTTTTTTTTTTTCCATACTGTCACCATAGTGTCGCTGATCACCTGATCACCACCACAGCAGTCATATGACGCTTTACTGCACTGGTGAAATTTTAATTATTTTCTTTCCCAAAAATTGGTGACAAAAAAAATTACAACTTTAAAAAAACTTGCCATTCCTCTTACTAAATATCTCACACTGTCTGCTTTCTAAAAAGGGGGGATTTGTACTGTCCTGACATTTGGGGGGGATTTGTACCGTCCTGACATTTGGGGGAGATTTGTACTGTCCTGACATTTGGGGGAGATTTGTACTGTCCTGACATTTGGGGGGGGGAGATTTGTACTGTCCTGACATTTGGGGGAGATTTGTACTGTCCTGACATTTGGGGGGGATTTGTACTGTCCTGACGGTTTTTGGGGGGGGGTTTGTACTGTTCTGGCATTTGGGGGGTATCTGTACCTTTCTGACACTTGGGGGATATCTGTACCGTCCTGACACTTGGGGGATATCTGTACCGTCCTGACACTTGGGGGATTTCTGTACCGTCCTGACATTTGGGGGATTTCTGTACCGTCCTGACATTTGGGGGATTTCTGTACCGTCCTGACATTTGGGGGATATCTGTACCGTCCTGACATTTGGGGGATATCTGTACCGTCCTGACATTTGGGGGGATATCTGTACCGTCCTGACATTTGGGGGATATCTGTACCGTCCTGACATTTGGGGGATATCTGTACCGTCCTGACATTTGGGGGGATATCTGTACCGTCCTGACATTTGGGGGATATCTGTACTGTGTCCTGACATTTGGGGGGATATCTGTACCGTCCTGACATTTGGGGGATATCTGTACCGTCCTGACATTTGGGGGATATCTGTCCTGTCCTGACATTTGGGGGATATCTGTACCGTCCTGACATTTGGGGGGGATTTGTACTGTCCTGGCATTTGAGGGCCTCAAGATTTGAGATTGGCAGTCAGTACATCAGGACTGATCAATTTTTATATATATATCCCATAGTTTGTAGACTATAACTTTCACACAAACAAATTTATAAACCCTTATTGAAATTTTTTTCACCAAAGACTTGAACCAGATTACATTTTGGCCTAAAAATTTTATTTTTTTTTAAACTGGATGTTTTATAACAAAGTAAAAAAATATTTTGCTTTTTGTTTTTGTTTTTAATTTAAAAAAAGAAAAACCCAGTGGTGATAAAAAATACCACCAACAGAAAGCTCTTTGTTGAAAAAAACTGATATAAATATCATTTTGAATTTGTGTTTGCAACAGGCTACTGCAGCAACACCAAAAGGCAAGCCCTCTGTGGCCCCCAGCCCCAAAGAAGCCGCTCACTGCAACTCCTACCCAGGCCAAAAAAGCCTGCCGCAGCTTCTGGCACCACTCCGAAACGCCCTCTGGGGAGCACCGCTAAACCCGCAACACCGAAAGAGACAAAAGAGGCAAAGCCCAAGGTAAGTGTTAAACCCCAGATACCCCGAGTTTTCCAGTTGTTCGTCGCATCACTTGTGGGTGTTCCCGAGGGTGGTCTGCGTGTAAATGCAATCTACCCAGGAATGCCGCACTCCTCCAGACTGCCACCCGCCCATTGATATTTGCAGAACTCCTCCCAAGAGCTGGAGATGTAGGGTCCCGCTATAGGACCTCCAAGTAACATACGAAACACAGATGTATCCTGCCGCTGGTTTACCTTTTGAAGACTTTGTATTTGTCCATCCAGTCTTTAAACTTACACAGCTCTGCCAAAGAGCAAAGCCATGTCTGACGTGGCAGAAGACTTGATTTCAGTCTGCTGCACTCCAGTAACACTTGTAGGTCTTGTCCCTCCCCCGGGCTGTTATTGGACAGTGATCTCACTCTGGTCTGCATGTCCCTTGTTGGCACATGAGCAATGTAGCACGCCTGATTGGCCCATTTTGCTTCAATCTCCCCCCACCCCATGCCGGGACTCTGGCCCACCCTCTTGTAGTAGAAGTACTGCTGCAGGGCTGTGTAAAACCATATACATACATACATACATACATACATACATACATACATACACACATACACATACACATACACATACATACATTCATTCATACATATACACATACATACAAACATACACATACATACATATATACATACATATACACATACATACATCTACACATACATTCATTCATTCATTCATACATACATACATATACACATACAAAAAAACATACACATACATTCATATACACACAGTGGGGCAAGTATTTAGTCCCCACCAATGGTACAAGTTCTCCCACTTACAAAGATGAGAGAGGCCTGTAATTGGCATCATAGGGAGACCTCAACTATGAGAGACAAAATGAGGAAAAAACAAATCCAGACAATCCCATTGGCTGATCGGAAAGAATTTATTTGCAAATTATGGTGGAAAATAAGTATTTGGTGAATATGAAAAGTTCATGTCAATACTTTGTTATATATCCTTTGTTGGCAATGACAGAGGTCAGACGTTTCCTGGAAGTCTTCACAAGGTTGGCACACACTGTTGCTGGTATGTTGGCCCATCCTCCATGCAGATCTCCTCCTCCATGCAGATTCTCCTCTAGAGCAGTGATGTTTTGGGGCTGTCGCTGGGCAACATGGACTTTCAACTCCCTCCAAAGGTTTTCTATGGGGTTGAGATCTGGAGACTGGCTAGGCCACTCCAGGACCTTGAAATGCTTCTTACGAAGCCACTCCTTCGTTGCCCCAGGGCGGTATGTTTGGGATCATTGTCATGTTGGAAGACCCAGCCACGTTTCACCTTCAATGCCCTTGCTGATTGAAGGAGGTTTGCACTCAAAATCTCATGATACATGGCCCCATTCATTCTGTCCTGTACATGGATCAGTCGTCCTGGTCCCTTTGCGAGAGAAACAGCCCCAAAGCATGATGTTGCCACCCCCATGCTTCACAGTAGGTATGGTGTTCTTTGGATGCAACTCAGCATTCTCTCTCCTCCAAATACGACGAGTTGTGTGTTTCTACCAAACAGTTCTATTTTGGTTTCATCTGACCATATGACATTCTCCCAATCCTCTTCTGGATCATCCAAATGCTCTCTAGCAAACTTCAGACGGGCCCCGGACATGTACTGGCTTAAGCAGGGGGACACGTCTGGCACTGCAGGATCTGAGTCCCTGGCGGCGTAGTGTGTTACTGATGGTAGCCTTTGTTATGTTGGTCCCAGCTCTCTGCAGGTCATTCACTAGGTCCCCCCGTGTGGTCCTGGGATTTTTGCTCACCGTTCTTGTGATCATTTTGACCTCACTGGGTGAGATCTTGCGTGGAGCCCCAGATCGAGGGAGATTATCAGTGGTCTTGTATGTCTTCCATTTTCTAATTATTGCTCCCACAGTTGATTTGTTCACACCAAGCTGCTTGCCTATTGCAGATTCAGTCTTCCCAGCCTGGTGCAGGTCTACAATTTTGTTTCTTGTGTCCTTCGACAGCTCTTTGGTCTTCACCATAGTGGAGTTTGGAGTGTGACTGTTTGAGGTTTGTGGACAGGTGTGTTTTTATACTGATAACAAGTTCAAACAGGTGCCATTGATACAGGTAATGAGTGCAGGACAGAGGAGCCTCTTAAAGAAGAAGGTCCAGGTCTGTGAGAGCCAGAAATCTTGCTTGTTTGTAGGTGACCAAATACTTATTTTCCACCATAATTTGCAAATAAATTCTTTCCAGATCAGCCAATGGGATTGTCTGGATTTGTTTTTTCTCATTTTGTCTCTCATAGTTGAGGTCTCCCTATGATGCCAATTACAGGCCTCTCTCA